AAATGGAGAGAGAGAGAGACAGAGAGAGAGAGAGAAAGAGAGAGTGAGAGAGAGAGAGTTAGAAAAAGAATATGTGATAGAGAGAAAGACGGTGAGAGAATGAGGTATCGGTTGGGACAAGTGAGAAAGTCGGCAGGAAGTAAGAATGACCCCATTAACCTTGTGTAAACCAAATGAGAAGAAAATGGGAAATGGGAAGATCGGAAAGAGCCGAGGGGGAGAGGACGGGATGAATACACGCTCATGTTGGCCAGATCTGAGGCCACAGAATGGAACGCTGATGAGCCGTTGGGGGCAACGCCAGTTCCAATGACAGAAAAATCAGCGCCAGGGAAATCGTCCCGATTGCCTACGTTAACATTTGAAAGTCAATTTTGTCCGAACGCGGGAAGATAGAAATATATTCACAGAGGTCCTTTAAGGACATGTCACCGTGAGGGATTTTTATAGTTACGGAGTGTGAGGGCTTTGTCGATTTAGGAGGCATGAGGCTCTGTTCCACGTATGCCAACCTTTAGAAAGGAGTAGAAGGGAGTGTGTGGGGGGGGAGTGGGGGTAAATTCAGTTATCCAGGAAGGGAGTTTTCTATATTTAAAGAGTATATGTCTTTTTGAAATGCCTTAACTGATGCGCAATATGGCAGAATGTGCAACGGCAGCTCTTGACCGTCAAGGATGGACGGGCCATTGCACGCCAACCTCTGAGTGAGAGATGAGACCTCCAGGTATCCAAGGTATAATATATGGAGTCATCGTGAAGAATCATAGCGTAGTCGCAGCTATATCTTACAGTAGGGTTCACCAGCGTACGTCCTGCACTGCAGCTCCAGCCTGTAAAGTCAGTTCACCATGCTCTCCACCCAACATGTCATCATACGGGAAAACAAGAAAAAAAATCTAAGAAGACGACGCGTTTGTACAGTGCTCAAGACTCCGTAATCAAAACAATTTTATCATTTCATTGAACTCGACTATGCAAATGATACTTGCTTCTACAAACGGCATAATGTTTAACGTACCTTGTATATTTTAAAATGTTTTCAGTGTACTGTTTGGAACACAATAGTTATCTCTACCAAAACAAACATCCCTCTCAATTGTAAAGAAAAAAGTTTGGTGCCTCTAGTCTTAAAGGAACAGAAAACAGCGCGCTGTGATCCTCATGATGCGTGGAGACGTGAGCGGAATG